TCTTTATCCCTTCACCCTAAAAACTGCTGCACTCAGAATACCCAGTTTGGCCTTCAGAGTCATTAACAATATTTGATCCTCAACAGTGTTCACTGGAAGGAATCTCATCTACAAGTCCCAGCGCTGCCATTTACCCCATTACTTCCAACACACAGTTTACCTTTTTTGCCTGAGATATTTTTATGCAAAGCATGCAATTTTTTTATTGCATGTAATGCAGACTATACTCTGTTTAACTTTTTTAGCTTTCAAAGAGGCAACAAAAAGTTTATTTGGGGAACTTTTGAAGCAAAAGAAAGAAAAACGCCCCATACTCTCTTTCTTCAGGTGTCTAGGAAAATCTCGCTTTGAGTAAGCCCAGAACTTGTGAAGGAGAAAAAAGACTTCTGAAGCAGTATGATTTCAGGCTGCAGAATGGACCTTTCTGATTACTTACTACAGGGTGTAGCTGTTGAAGACATATGTATTGAATGGTGACCTCAGGAGTATTATACACCAGAAACAGGGCTCTAAAGGGTTATTATTAATACCCCAGTGGAAGTTTCCATGTAAAATACCACAGGAGGATTAACATTGACATTGTGACAAATTTCATATTGAATCAAGGACACACAGGCTAGTAGGACCTACTCATCACATCCTTGGCTGACCAGAGCACAACACTTTGACCCACATTGGCAATTATATCTTACTTCTCCTGTTACTTGATGGCTTTATGCCTCAAAGGTTTTCAGGATCCAACAGAGTCTCCATCATGGCCTTGGTGGGGACAATGAAGGTAAAGGGGAAGAAGGCCTAGACAACCAGGTCCGTATTTCAACAAAGATACTCCGTGACGCTTTGTGTATGATTCCAGTGACTAACAGCAAAATCAGGCTTGAGCAGAAAATAAACATACACTGGGAACAGCAAAAGGATCTGAAGAAGCAAGATGCGAGCCTCAAGGCCTTTAGCCAGCAGATGTACAGGTTCCACACACACACCACCGATCTGTCAGGTGCTGTAAGTTACAGTCAGAACCAGCATTTCCAATTCAAATATTGACACAACAATATGTTTATCTCTTAACATTCCCCTGCAGCAGATGACACAGGAGAGGTAATCACTTCCACCATTTCATTTAAGCTCTTTCAGCCCAAGGACATGGCAGCTTGACGAGAGTTCTCAAAGCTTTCACCTCTCTTCCTCAGAAGTATCCAGTCCAATAAATATCACTGCTTCATACTGAAGCAAGGTAAGCACTACCTTCTCATCCACAAGATGGATGGCAAAACAGAAAATCAATTTCTTTGGAAGGACAAAATGTGCACTGACAGGAAAGGAGATGGCCCTCCAGTTTAAATGAACGAAAACTTGCACCTACTTCCACTTCTGTACATTTGAATTTACTCTGGTCACTGGCAGGATTACACGCTGCCTGAGCTAAGGTTTGGTGTCTACTCCCAAGCATTACAAATGTGTTCAGGTATGCTTCCTTGTTCTTTACTGTTAGGTTACAAACAACAGGATGTTGGGGGAACACAGAGGTATTTTGTAGAAGCTATGAGCTGGAAAGAGAGGAGAAAACATAAACAATAAAATACATCCTTAGCAGTCAAGAGCTTTGGGATCACCATAATTTAAACACAACGATAAGTCAAAACATACTAAGCAAGTATCTATAAAATTGCTTTGTTTGACAGATTTAGTTCAGATTTGTCAACACAGGCAAAGTCATTGTGACAAACAATAGCTGTGGTAAAGGACAGAAGTTGAGCTGCATAACTGCACAATTTGTATAAAGCCAAGTTTAAAAAAAACAACACAGAAAATAGCCATATCTGTCCAAAATAACTTCATTAACAAAAACAAGAATACAAGAAGATAATGAAAACAGTACTGCTTCAGCATCAAAGATCAAGATGTCAGCACAGTAACCCATATCAAGTTTTTTGTATGTGACCAGAAAAGAGCCTGAATATTGTTGCTTTGTAAACACTTAAAGTTTGTCTCAAGTCTGAAGCAAGCAAAAAAAGCACAGATGTGTCTATTCAAAGTTCAGTGAGTGGGCTGCAGAAGCTGCCATCACAGCACTACCAGAAAAAGATAGCTTGATGGATGACACTTGGTTTTCTAAACTTCTACTCTTTTCCATTTTTTGCCTGTTTACTACTGCAGCAACTAAAAACTACCTTCTATATCTTTAAGGCCTCTTAGGCCTTGCAGGGAAGCCAAAGTATAATATGTTACAAAGAGGAGTGAAATAATAAACATGATAGAAATTTTGGCTCTGTTTTAGGAATGATGTGCAGAAAAAGAAGAAATGTAGAAAGACACAACATGTCTTTTACCTGATATTGTTCTTAAATTAATCAGATCCGTACAAGGTCACAAAGAAAACTGCACAGGGGAAAGTGACAGATTAAGAACCTGAAGAAATCTTAAGGACAGGGGAAAAATCCTTAAGTCGCTAAAGAGAGTAAAGGAAAACCCTGGGAAGACAGCTGACTTTCATGTTCTGCATTACAGAAGACAGCTAAGAGCATTAAAAAGATGCAGGCAGAGTACCAGTACTTTACCTTTTAAAAATAGTCATTATATTGGTGGTTTAATGGGCATGCCCAGACTAGAAGTCAAACAGAAAGAGGTGTGTAACAGAACTTCCCTTAGTTAGCATGAGCAAAGAGTTCAGATGTGAAAGTCAGTCAATCATTGAAGTGACAAAGAACAGGAGAGGTCAAGGATGTTGGGACTAAAATACATTCATGCTGAGGGCAGGGAGGAAAAAGAAGGGAACTGGGTGGGAGAATGAAGAAGAGGCAAACTGAAGACCGTGACACGAAACTTGCAGGTGTAAAGTAGGTGAAGTGACCAGCTTGAAAGAAACAGGTGATGAGGGCAAGTCACCTCCCCCCTTAACAGGCCTAACTGTCACGGCATGTCTAGAAAGTCATTCCAAGAACTCTGGTTACCTTATCTGTTTCCTTTGCAGTGTGACATCCCTAACAGTTTTACGTTGTAAGCTACCTCTACAACCATTGTGCAAGCTTAAAATTCAAAATTCAACATGAGACATGAGACATGACAGTGTGGAACTTCATGTTAAAACTGAAATTCACAGTGATCACTAAAATACATTGATAATTTGATTTGTAGGACCTCTTAAACTGTATGAAGCCATATAATAGCAAGGGCAATTTATATACTACCTTTCAAGATTATGGTCATCATCTTGACTGTTAACTCTCAGAATATTCTTGATTCTCCTTTTCCCCTAGAAACTTTGTTCTTTAAAAACTCTTACAAACCCACCCGCCTTTTGCTTATGTATTGTCGGAGTGGGAGACGGACCCGGAGTAACGATGTAACCTCAATACGAGTATGATCGTTCTCCCTTTTATTCAAGTTTTTACAAAGTATATATAGACAGGCAAGCAGAGCACGCGCTGGCGACAGCTATATGATTGGCTTACAATCTCTGTTCACGCGACTAGAGCGCTCACACAATTGGTGTAGACCCCTTGTCCACGCGCAGCAACATTCTCTTGTCTTCTGGATGCGGTCCCGTTTATCTTATCTACCAAGTAGCTACTTCTTCTTACTTCTGCTTTTCCCAGGAAAGTTCATGGTCATCTCCAGGCCTGTATCTACATCAAAGACTAGGTTGCTCATCGCAATTAAACCGTGGCCCTTTTCACACAGCCATTCCTCCACAATGTATATGTAAGGTTGTGGAGGGACGGATGGCATGGTGTTATACGTGTTCAAATAGGATGAGATTGCTTTGTTTGCTGTTAACGGCTGAGTTCCAAGATAGTTGCATAAAGTTATCTCAACACGTTGCCAGCAAAATCCTCATCCCAACAAGATCAAATTCCATACTGTTTTCAAATAAGCTTAGTGGCAAGAGCTATGGAAAGAATTGCTACCAAAAAGAATCTTTTGGGACCTCATATAACAATTACACTCTAATAAAAATGTAAGCCAACTACATTAGCACATCTGAAGTACGCTATATCATCAGGATCATATCTGCTGAGTGTTCACTAGTTGCTTCCTCATTTGTTTGCAAAGTGTGGTTTTTGTTTTCTGGTGGTTTGTTTTTTTTTTTTTTGCCTTAAAAAGAACAAAGCCAGTTTTACAGCATCATCAGAAGACAAATTTATTGAGATGGTGACATACAGAGTAGGACAAGCATCTGCATTAAGACAGTAAAGAAGTCAGAAGTTCTGAACTACATAGAGCACAGTCCCATCGCAGACCACCGGCAAAAGACCTTCTTGGCCAAATTATAAACAGTTGTTTGTTCAAGAGTTACTGTGCATCTTCTGCACTGCCTGTTTCAAACTAGGTCTCTGAAGACGTGTGTCCAGAAATTGACTACCAGGCCGAATCTTCGGCCCCAAACCATCCAGTGTGGCTTCACTTACTACTCCTCAGCGGCAAACAGGTGCGATGCAGAAGGTGCATTTTACACCAGCGAAAGATCGGTGCATTATTTTGTTTATTAGTACACCCGCTTTCAGTACTTTTAAGGCGCTGACAGAGGGGCAGAAGCCAGCCACCAGTCACTGGCGACCTGCCACCCGGCCAGGAAAAAAAAAAAAAAAAAAAAAATAAGCTCCCCTCACCTTCTTAAAAAAAAAAAAAAAAAAAAAAAAAAAAAAAGAAGAGCCGTCAAGTGACAGGCCCTCCTGGCCTCTAGGTCACCAACCTCCTCCTCCTCCTCACCTGGCCTCTGGGCCACCAACCTCCTCCTCCTCCGGCCGCTGGGCCACCAACCTCCTCCTCCCTGGCCGCCGGCACAGAGGTCGCAGCCCCTGCTGCCACGCCGGGGAGGGCAGCACCATCTCCCCGCGGCCGGGGCGGGGTGAGAGCCGGTCCCTGTCCCCAGCCGACCCTGCCGGGGCCCGCTGCCCACGGCGGGACGGTGCCGCCGGGAGGGAAAGGGCTGCAAAGCGCCCACCCCCACCCCCGCAAGCGCTGCCGCGGGGCCGCCCGTCCGGCGCCCGGCTACTCACCATCTCCTGCCTCAGGAGGTGAAGTTTCGTCTCCAGCCTGGCCAGGGCGGCGGCGCGGCGGCGGCGGGGTCCGGGGGCCGCGGCGTCGGCAGCAGCGGGGCGTCCCGGGAGCTCCTCCCCGCGCAAGGGCCGCGCCAGGCTCTCCGGCACTTTGCGCCCCATTTTCTGCTCGACGTCGCGGAGGTCTGGCGGGGCGCCGGCCTCCATGGCTGGCCCCGCAAGGGACCGCGCCGGCGGCGGGCACTACCCGCGGCCGCCCGGCCGCTGCAGGGGCGCGGAGGTGCGGTAATCCGCGGCAGCGCCGGGGCCGGCGGCCGAGCCGCGCAGGTCACCCGCCGCGGACATGGGGATCCCCCGGGCGAACCGGTCCCCCCTCCCGCCCTTCCCCGCCCCTCCTTTGCCACCGGGGGGAAAGACGAAAGCGGGCGGGCGGGGGCGAGGGAGAAAAACTCTCCTTGAGCCCAGGAAAGGGGGGGAGGACGCGGCCCCCGGCCCTGCTCC